CAAAACATCATCGACATATATTGCAACGAACGACATTTTATCACCATCGACATTGTAATAGATGCATTGGTCCACGTTACTTCTAACGAGCCCCATATTAAGAAGTTCACGGTTAAGAGTCTCGTTCCAGACTCGCCCTGATTGCTTCAGGCCGTAAATAGATTTAAATAATTTGCACACCTTACCTGTGCCATTGTCGTAGCCCTCTGGCTGTTGCATGAATACTTCTTCTTCCAGTGTGCCATTCAGGTATGCACACACAGCGTCCATTTGATGTACGGCCATGCCATACTTCACGGAAAGCGCCAATAAGAAACGAATTGATTCATATCTTACCACAGGCGCGAATGTCTCAAAGTAATCGATGCCTTCGGTTTGCGCGCAGCCTTTCGCCACTAATCTGGCTTTTCTGCGAAGTGGAATACCGTTTATGTCGCATTTAGTTTTGTATACCCACATGGATTTTATCGCCTTCTTGCCAGGTGGAAGATCAGTCAACGTCCATGTGTTGTTAAAGTGCAGTGAATCGATTTCGCTTTGCATGGCGGACTTCCACTCATCCGCGTGAAACGACGACACCGCTTCTTTATAAGTTGAAGGATTATATAAATTAAACTCTGCAGCACAAAAATTGTAGGACTCTGCTTGCTTACTTGCAATTCTCTCAGAGCGACGCACTTGGAAGTCGATGTTGTTGACATCTTCTTCACCGTTAACTGCGACGTTGTCAATGCGGCTGAGGTATTCATCAGCGTGATCTGTGTCACTGTCGATAGTGTTCAATTCGCTACCATTCCCCTCTGGATTGACACTTTCGCCGCCGGATACATCAATAAGTTGATAAGTATCATTCAACTTGTTACAATTTAGGTTTTTTTCCAAAAACACAACATCCCTACTAATAATGATTTTGTTGGTACACGGATCAAAAAGTCTGTACGCTTTACTTTCGCCACTGTAACCTACCATGATGCATTCGATTGACTTTTCACACAATTTATGCCTTTTCTCTTTTGGGACGTGGACCATTGCCGTGCATCCAAATACGCGGATATGTTTCAAGCTTGGCTTTTTTTGAGACCAAAGTTCCTCCGGACTACGCTTGTCCTCTCTGCATGGCACAAAATTGGTTAAATACGCGGCGGTAGAAGCGGCTTCTGCCCAAAAACGCTCGTCGACCCCACTGTCTATAAGCATACAACGAACCCGCTCGATCAAGGTGCGGTTCATTCGCTCCGCTACACCGTTTTGCTCTGGTGCATACGGAAATGTGGTTTGGTGAATGATTCCACTTTTATTCAAAAATAATTTAAAACTTTCATTCACATATTCTCTGCCATTATCAGTTCGAAGAATTTTAATCGTTTTTGAACACTGGTTCTCAACCATATTTTTAAAATTTTTAAATGTTTCATAGACGTCGGATTTATTCTTAATTGGGTAAGCAAACACCTTACGCGTAAAGTCATCGACGAAACAAACCAGGAAACGAGCACCCGAAAACGATTTGGTCTTTAGTGGACCAATCACATCTGAGTGAATCAGTTCTAAAACATTACTTGCGCGCGTTCCTTTTTCTTTATTCGGTTTGCGTGTCTGCTTCCCTTTTATGCACACTTTGCAATATTCATTTTGCCAAATAATATCCCGTCATTGTTTTGTTGCACTTTGTGTAAGGAACTATTGCAAATATGGCCCATTCGTCGGTGCCATATTTCAAATTCATTTTTCACTATCATCGCGGATGCTTTTGTCTTGTTAGTTTTACTATTTAATCGGTAAAGATTATTATGGAGCGATGCAGTAGCGACAACTTCGTTGTTTTCGTTTGAAATAGTGCAGATGTCACCTTCAAATACTATTCGCTTACCATTTTGTGCCATTTGGCGAACTGACAGAAGATTTGCGCATAAGTCAGGAACATACTCGACATTTTTGACAATTGCTTTTGTGTGTTTATTTCTGCCAAAAAGAGACAAATCAACATCGCCTGCAAAATTTGCGGTAAGCTCGGTATTGTTCGCTATAACAATAGTTTTCTCCCTTATCTCGTGCTTGTTACATAAACGGTTGACGTCGTTTGTCATGTGGTTGCTCGCACCACTGTCTATGTACCAATTTGTGTACTCATTCTTGAATATTATGTCGCGCATTTCACCTTTTGTTGCTTTTGCGCATGCTTGTCTTTCGTTGTTTTCTTGCGTGATAGTACTACTCATTTCACATTTTGTTGCTTTTGCGCATGTTTGTCTTTCGTTATATTCTTGGGTAATAGAACTACTCGTTGCAAATAACACGTCCGCTCTTTCGATGTTTTTTCTTCTGTAGTTTTCTATGTTTTTATTAGTGTTGGTCTGTTTGTGCTTTTGCGGGCAATTCCTAGCGAAATGACCTATGGCTTTGCAACTATGGCATCTCAGTTTATTTGGGTTTTTGTTGCTCAAATGTTTTGAGTACAGCGCTTTTTCTTTGTCTACACCATCGAACTTAACATCTTGTAGTAGTACATTCTTTACTATGTCCACAGTTAGCTTTTGTTTGGAGTTTTCCACTGCCATTACAAAAGGTCTGAATTCATCAGACAGACCGGCAAGCATTAACGAGGCAGCTAACTCATCATCGATGTTTAGGCCTGCGTTTCTTACTTTTATAGCAATCATGATGATGTCATTTACATATTCTTGAATAGAGCTGTAGTTTTCGAGCCTAACATTGACCAGTTGTTTTAGCAATTCTACTTTTCTCGTGAGGCCATTGTCTTCATAGGCGTTCATTAGAGCACTCCACGCCTCCTTCGCCGTCAGCGCACTAGCGATGTGACCGAAATTGCTGGGGTCCACCATCAAGGTAATTTCGGCTAGCGCTCGCTCATTTAAATCAGCATCCTTCTCGCTTACGACTCCACTTTCGACGACTTTCCAGACGCCCTTTATAACTAAGCAGGATTTCGCTTGACGCTTCCATATGTCGAAATTTTCCCTGCCGCGCAACTTTTCCATTTGGAATGTCATAGGAATTAACGACGAACTTGCCATTATACTATATTTTAGTCTTCAGTGGTTATTTGTTATATTGCTTTTAATTTAGCAAAAGACACGTGGCTTAAGGCCCATAACCTGTTGTAATATAATATATATCTTTATTCAATAGCAGTTAAAGTGAGAGTAAGTACAAAGAGATTGAAGAACTTCATTTTCTAACATTTGTATAACACATGTATTACAGATGTGTATATGTATATATTACAGGGTTGTACAAAGTGTACGAGTGAATAAGGTGACCAGTAATATATAATAAGTTGTTCACTTTATAACAATTTTAAAGTGACTTAAGAAAACGGCCCTAACTGTATTTATATTCTCAATATTTTTTTTCGTTTTTCGATGCCATCCCGGTTAATTTGGAGCAATTAATCGATAAAACTATCTATAGTATTGTTAAAAAACTATCAACGAGTAATGATAGTTTATTTCTGAAACACGAAAACTATCGACAGTTTTACAACTCTACTAGGCATGATTATTGTCCAATTTTGCCCATAAATACCATCCGTCCTTGACTCAAAAGAAATACTCGTACCAAGTTTCAGTAAGATATTTAAATGTTTGCACGACTTATAGTGTGTGCATGTGGACGGTCAGACAGTCACGGTTTAATCGATTTCCTTTTTCATTCTGAGTATTTAAGTATGTATACATTTGTATATATCTATCTCGATTTCTTTAGGCTATTACAAACAACTGTTATAGGGAATTTACATGACGCGATTTTTTCAGGGGGGAGTTCTCCTGATTGCAAATATATATACTTTTAGCCGCAGGAGGCTTATAGTTTTTAAGTTATTTGTTGTTAAAGTTTGTAAATTGAACTAACCTCTCGGCGCTTTTCACACAATAAACACTATATTTATGTAGACCCTTCGGCAAAATAGTTGCATTAAAACCCCGCACAATGAAATGTAAACATACTTTTTACATTTATGATGTATTTTTAGTAAATTAAGTAAGTTTTAATAACTATCACGCACTTATATATGTATACGCACATTGTGAATACAGAACATTCGAAGACTTAAATTTGATAAAAGACTAGTTACAAGTAGTAAACTAGTCTGAGCATTTTGTCTCTATAACCATGACCATAACAAATTTTTTTTCCGATGTTCTAATTAATGATAACCCAATCATCACAAGCAATAAAGTAATACTTAATTCTCGCTCAGAAGGTTTAAACAATTTCTTAGTTATTCACCAAAACATACGTAGTCTAAGGCAAAATTTTGATGTATTTGTATGTAATCTTGAAGCTTTAAATATTCAACCAGATCTAATTTTTGTGTCTGAAATATGGATTTTCTCATATGAGAAAAATGATTATAAAATACCAAGTTATAACTTTTTTGCTAACACTAACGATAGCTACAGTGCAGGGGGTGTTGGAGTTTTTGTGCGTGATGTATATGAATGTAAGTCGTTCAATTTTAACTTCAAAAGTGCAGACATGCTAAAGCTTTCTTGTAATATAAGAGGTGAACAATTTACATTTGTATGTGTATACAGACTACATTCAATGCCGGCTTCTGATTTTCTTGAAGAATACTCAGGTTTTCTATGCAATGAAAATGCGGCCAATTTGCTTATTGTTGGCGATTTTAATTTAGATATATTACATCGTTGCGCCGCAACAGATGACTATTTAGCATTGATGGCTGATAACGGCTTCACATCATATTTAAATGAACCAACTCGCACAAGTTCAGGCACCTGTATTGACCATGTTTTTTGTCGTTTTAAAACTATACCAAATTGCTATTGCATCAGTTTGAATTTGGATTTGCAAGTTACCGATCATACGATGACAGGTATTCAGATCAAAGATTTTGGTACGATTATAAGCAAAATAAAAAACGTTAGAAAATCATACCCTAAAATTAATTTCAAGTTACTGAACGACAAGTTACGCTACGAGAATTGGTCGCATGTTTACGCAGAAAACGACGTTTCGTTATCCTATGCTTTATTTCTGGAAACCTTAAAGTCTCATATTGGAGCTTCTAGCGTTAATGCGTTACAGCGAAAGCAAAACATGAGACTGAAACCTTGGATAGATCAAGATCTCTTAAAGAAAATAAAACTAAAAAATAAATTAAGCAAAAAGTGCACCAAGCGTCCAAATAATAGAAAACTTCGTTCTCGATACATCAAACTTAGTAACAAAACTAATAAAGCAATTCGATTGAGGCGAGATAGCTTTTTTCGAAATGAGTTTAAATCCTCATTCGGAAATACAAGAAAAGAGTGGGAGGTTGTCAATCGGGCTCTTAATCGAGCACCGGCAGAGCGTGTCGAGTCAATTGCCCTGTGGTCAAAAGGTCATTCGATCTCAGATCCTATAGGAGTAGCCAATGAGTTCAATAAGCACTTCACCTCTATTGGGAAAACTAAATGGACTGATTGCAATTGCCAATTTGCTTTAGGACTGCCCTCAAACCCTGATACTCAGAAAAGTTTCTTTTTTAATTCAATTTCAAGCTTAGAAATAACTAATATAATCAAAACTTTAAATAACTCAGGTTCTTGCGGTGATGACGGTATTTCCAATAAAATACTTAAATGCATATCCTTTAATATAGTCGATATACTTAAATACTTATTCAATGCTAGTGTTACGCAGGGTGTTTTTCCAGAAGATTTGAAGTGCGCTATTATAATTCCAGTTTTCAAAAGAGGCGATAAGAAGGATGCAAATAATTACAGGCCTATATCTTTGCTCTCGACAATATCAAAAGTATTTGAAAAAGTTATTAAAAATAGAATTGTAGACTATCTTGATAGGTCGAAATTCTTTAGCCCAATGCAGTTTGGCTTTCGTTCGGGACTTTCTACGGAAGATGCTCTACTAGATTTTTGCTCGTACATCTACCAAGGCTTGGACAGTAAAAATATCTGTGCTGGACTTTTTGTTGACATTACAAAAGCTTTCGATATGGTAGATAGAGATATACTTTTAAATAAGCTATTTAGCGCTGGTTTCAGAGGGTTTATGCATAAGTGGTTTAAATCCTATCTCTCGAACAGAGTACAAAAAGTCAAAGTTGCAAATAGCTATAGTAGTTTAGAGCCTGTTCATCTGGGCGTACCCCAAGGTTCAGTTCTTGGTCCAATACTTTTTTTGATTTATATCAATTCAATTTTTTCTTTGCCACTGAAAGGCAAAGTAACTGCTTTTGCTGATGACCTTGCCATTACTTATTGTACTTCGAGCTACTTTGAAGCAATATGTGACATTAATCACGACATACATCTACTCAGAATCTGGTTTGCATTGCATAAACTGTCTGTAAGTAGTAAATCTAAGCTTATGTACTTTAGCCTCGTTGCCAAAGAATCCCCAAACTGTGATATTTTGTTTCATTCTTCAGATTGTCTGCGTTTTAATTTGCATAATAATGAGTGCTCTCTGAATGAGTCAAAAAAGTCTTTCGCGTGCACAGTCAACTGCGACGATACTTGTTTCCAGCTTGAAAATGTTGAAAAGTTTAAATACCTAGGAGTAGTAATAGACAACCGCTTAAATTGGTCTGAACATTTAAATACGTTAAAACAATACTTTCTCTACACCAGTCGTCATTTATACCGCCTTAAAAAGATTTGTTCTACTGCTACACTAAAAATGGTTTATTACGGAATATTTCAATCGAAGCTGCAATACGGTATCAGCTGTTGGGGTGGTGCTTCGGCTAGTAAATTGTCCTCCATCATTACAATTCAAAAGTGCATAATTAGACGTATCTGTAACGCAAATCGTAAAACTCACTCTATGCAATTTTTTAGAATGCTCAATATATTGCCGGTGCGACATTTATACTGTTTTAAAGTTTTAAAACTTTTTTTCATCAAATCTGGATACTTGAAAAGTCTTCCGTCAGAAATTTATAACCTGCGCAGGAACATGCTTCCAATTGTTCACGTTCCGCCTGCTCGTACGTCTCACTTTAGATGTTTTTATACGTACGCCTCTTGTAAATTGTTCAACTCACTACCTGCTTCTGTACAGGTCATAAGAAATCTTAGTTTATTCCAAAAGAATGTTAAAGTTCACCTGTTCAACTTAAACCACTGTAAAATTGAAGCCTTGTTGAGGTCTATATTGTAATCTCTTGGATTTGTATCGACTCTTTGTATTGATTCTTTCTAACGTTATTACATATTTGTTTACTTTTATTTTTCAATGTTCACCCCACAAAATGTATACTATTCATTGAAATTGGCATTTAAAACTATTTTACTTTGTAATATAAATAATGCCATTAACTTTTCTAATGCAGCATTGATGTACTTATTGAACGCAACATGAATTTAGAATACTGTGTTAATCTGTATGCATTAAGAAAATGAAATAAATGAAATGAAAAATGAAATGAAAAACAGAACCGTTGATTCAACCATGGTTTCACACTGACATTAGAAGAGTGCAGCCACATCTAAGAAAATAACAATAAAAGAGAAGAGTTTTTATCGTACCCATTTTTCTGCTCAGCGTTGAATTAGTAGTAAAGGAGGGTATGGGGTTAAATACCCCCAATATATAAACAAAAATTAGAAGCGCCGCAGGCGAAAATTTTTAACAAAAAATCGCGCGATTTTCATTATTTGTCAAGTATTGATTTTTATAGAAAAAGCGCCGCAGGCGAAAATTTGTAATAAAAAATGCGTGTGTAACACCGTACACATGATAGAAGTGAAACTTCTTAAAAAAGGTGTGAGTACCAGGTACCTACTCACGAAATTGGATTTGTTTACGGTTCGGCAAACCATTAGGCGATTGAGTTACATACATAGGTTAAAATCAAACAATAATTTCATTTCATCTTATTAATTTTCTGATATACATATAATTTATTTATTCATTTTCCGGTAACACCACCTTATATGAATTCGCGCTTCTAGCATCCATAGGACCGGGTTGTAATGGAAGTAATTGTATGTTTAACAAATAAATGAAAATTTTTATATTGCAATCAATAGATCCTTACGAATTCGCCATTACCAAGGCACTAAGTAACGTCCGCACTTTTGCTGGCAAAATGCATATATTTAAGTTGAAAGAAGACAAA